ACCAAAAGGACAATTTAGGATTTTAACTCAAAGAAGTATTGAAAAGGAACTTCATAGAAACAGGCTTTAAATGTCTAGGTCTTCTTTTTAGTTTTTGAGTTGTTGCTGAGTAAATTATTGTTAATTTCTATAATGAGATCTCTCCATTAATTTGGTTTTGATGAGTTCCAGACCAAAGGAAAGAAAGTCAGAATTAGGATATTCAGAGATCCATTTGGAAAGGTCATATTCTCAGCAGTATGAACTCCAGATGAGATTTTTTTTCTTTTTGGTTTGTAAATAGATTTTCATATGGACCTGCACATTATTCTCTTTTTCTTTTATTTGTTATCTGTCTAAATAAATGAATGTATCTAATTCAGAGTGGCAAAGCAATCTTCTCTTCCAGGCAGTTCCTCTGCTGTGTGTTGGATAATGCTAGTTTACTTGGTTGTTGTTACCACATTTGAGTTTATGTTGTCTTTAATGAAAATAAATGGTGTTTTCATAAGGAAACAGATATCCTGGAGGGAAGTTTTAAGTGTTCAGTTGCCCATGATTTTCACCTAGTTCTCAGAAATTTGACTTAGATCTATTTATCATTATTTTATTGTAAGTTTCTGGGGAGATGAGAACATAGTTTGCCTTTGGCTTCTGACAAAGCAGAAACAAATTTAGGTTTGTTAGCAAATGGTAAATGTGAAAAAAGAGGAATGTTTCATCTCTACACAATGTGTTGGATTGTCAAATATTGATTTTATGTGAGGATGGTCACAGCAACACCTGTTAAATGACTGTGTCTTTGCAAGCAGCTGGTTGCATCCTTGGCCTTTTCTGCCTTTTTTCTCCATAATATATTGGTGTAACCCCGGAATACTGAGGTCTAAGGAGCTCTAAGACAATCTGTTCAACAGTCATCGTGTGTGTAGACAGTAGGACTGCTCTTTCTTCAGATTTTCTGGTTTCATCAAAGTCACGTGACAGAATCCTTCAGATATTTGTGACAGAGTGTACTCTAGTTGTGAAACCCTTATATTTGTCACAAATATCACTTTTCTTAGGATCATGAATTTCCTTTTGTTGTTAATCACTCCCACAACTGTAGGAGTGTGGGAAAGAACACAAATCAGGAGGCATTGAAGAAGTGTCAAAGCAAGAGAGTTGTCCTTGAGAATTGTCTCTTCTTTTCTCTTTTATAACTTCATTCCCCAGAATTCCTCCTACTTTCCAAGGGGTCTGGAGAGCTACTTATTTTGTGGGACTTGTATGTAATTTTTGCTTAATATAGTGAAAATATACTTGAAATTTCCCTTCCATTATTTTTTCTTGGAGATCCATGTGTGATTTACTTTCTTATTGAAAAATTATGAAAATGTCTATAAAACTGTGTCTGTGTTAGGAATAGTACATTTTTTGGGACCTGTAGCTTGAAGACATTTGTTAAGTTTAAACCATGTATTCAGAGAGTAGCTCTTTGCTTTTCATTCTTGTAAAGGTTACTAGCAGGGGAGGCTCATGAAGAAGCCCTCCTTTTAAGCTGGTGTAAGACCTAGAATGCTAGGACTAATGAAAAAGAACTGATGCATTCTGCTTTTTTTTTTTTTTAAACTGTTGTCATCAGTTTTTTGAACCTTGAAATTTTGGCTTGATCTTTTAACAGCTGCATAAGTCCATTGACTGGTTAGACCACAATTTATTTAAACCTTTCCCCAGTTTTGATTATTTTGATTGCCTACACTGTTCATGTTCCTAATAGTGTGCCTGGGGATCAAACCCAGGGCTTGTGCATGCTAGGCAAGTGCTCTACCCTTGGGCTACATTCGCATCCCTGATGAATATATTTGTAATATATATTTTTCCACACCTCTAATATCTCCAAGAATACTACACTAAAGGATATGAATTAATTTAAGGTTAAAGATATGTTCTTCCAAGTTACTTTCTAGAAGTCATACTAATTTACATTTTCGTAGCTCATCACATTTTCATAAATGTTGAGCATAACAGTAAAAAAAAGTTTATATGGTTATTCAGAGTCACAAAATTATAGAGGAGAAGTTTTTTTTTCCCTCTCCCAGTACCGGGAGTTTGAAGCCAGGGCTCACTTATGTTAGGTGAGCACTCTAACCACTAGGTTACATCCTCAGCCCTGACATGGATATCTTTTTAAAAAATATTTTTAAAATTGTGGATGGACACCATACCTTTATTTTGTTTTATTTGTTTTTATGTGGTACTGAGTATAAAAGCAGTTCCTCACCACATGCAAGGCAAGCACTCTACCACTGAGCCACAACCTCAGCCCCATGGATATCTTTATATCAGTAAATATGGATCTACATTAAGATATTTTATTGCTGCATAGAATTCCATCACATGGTTGAACTTTTGAATAGGTATTTTGTTTTCCCATATTATAAACAATACTCATTCCTCTCTCAATCTCTACTGCCATTATTACTGTGAGGCCATTTTGCTTGCCTATCTTATATTAGTCCCATAATTTCTTCATCTTTTCTTGCCCATAGTCTGTGCCCATAGTAGTTGACCTTACCCACTCAGTTCTGGTGTTTTCTGTCATACTACTTATGAGCAAGTTGAGGTGTAGTTGAAATGTAATGTTAGTGTTTTGGATTTTATTTTTTTGGTGGTACTGGAGATGGAACTCAGGAGCACTCTACCACTGGGCTATATCCTCAGCCTTTCTAAAAATTTTATTTTGAGGCAGGGTCTTGCTAAATTGCTGAGGCTGGTCTAGAACATGAGATCCTACCGCCTCAGTCTCCCAAATAGCTGGGATTATAGGTGTGTGCCACTGTGCCCAGCTGTTCTTGGCGTATTTAATGTGGGTGTAAAGCTAGAAAGCCACTGTCATTTCACAGACAATTTAATTTTTGTTTCTTCTCCATTAAGGGACTCCCTCCTGCCTCCCCCTCCCTCCTGTGGTTGTTGAACTTAAAGCAAATAAATATGTGCTGAGGATGTGGCTCAGTGGTAGAGTGCTTGCCTGCATTCATGAAACATATAAACATGATTAAACTTAAGATTAGAAGTCTTATCTTACATACACTGGTTATGCTTTTAATTTGGCAGGTATTGCCTAAGGTGATGTTTTGATTTTCTGTACTTGGAAGGTTCTAGTCTGCCTTCCCTTACTCTTTTCCCCTTTCCTTTTTCCTCCCACTCCCCTCCTTTTTCCTCCTGCCCTTTTTTTCTTCCTTTCTTTATTAAAGCCAGGATATAAGCGATGCTCTTCTTGGTTTAAATTTTTAAGGCTATTTTGCATATTTTTTTGGCTTGCTAAGTAGGATATAGTCACATACCACATAACAGAATGTTTTAATGATAAACAGCATATACAACAGGGGCCCCATAGATTATAATGGAGCTGAAAAATTCTTATTACCTGGTGACATTGCACCTGATTTAAGGTCATGGTGTACAGCTGGCCTAGTTGGTCTAAGTTTACATGTTGTAAAGTTTATAATTTCAATTTTATATATTTATAGAAAGTAAGGCTAAATCTACTCCCCTCTTCCCTTTTAACATAGCATTGATAACTTTCATTTTTCGGTGGGAACCAATTAGGAATAGCCCAGCTCCTGGATCATATGGCCTTAACAAATATTGGTAGTCAAAAGAGTGAGCCCTTGAGAGGAAGTAAGACCCACTCATGTGGTTTTGCATACTGAGTTTATAAAGGAAACCTTCCCGTTCCCTCGACCTAATCTTCATGGTCATCTTTTAGATTTTTTTTTAAAAAATTTCTTTTGTTAATAGACCAAATTGAAAAGCCTTTTCTTTTGTGAGTCACTGAACCAAATAAAAATTTGTTGAGGCCCCTTTGAAGTACAGTTTTAGGGTTTCTAGCTATCTAAGCCTTATGAATATATAGAAATTGTTTTGTTGTGCTAGGGATGGAACCCATGGCCTTGTACATGCTAAGCAAGTGCTTGATCACTGAGCTATATACCCAGTCCTAAAAAGACACTTAAGACCAATTTTTAATGGGAATTTTTAAAAAAATATAAAATATAGCAAAATTTTAAAGTCTTAAATGAATGGTTAGATATTGGTAAGATAGTACACCTTTAATATATAGCTAGAATTTGACAACTCCTCACCATGTCTGCAAACCCACTGTACACAGCATCTTGTTTGGAGCTACCATAGCTTCCTAAGTTATCTTCTTGCTTTCCTTTCAATCTTGTACAGTGTCTTCTCCAAAGGATGTGACTAAAGTTGGAATTCTCTGCTTGGAGTTCTGTAGTTGATTCTCATTTTATAGTAAAATCTGAAATTCTTTGTGTGACCTAGAAAGTCCTGCAGGATTTGACTTCTCTTTCACCTGGATTCTTGTAGCACATACCCTCTTATTGTGCTGCGGCCACATTGACCTCAAAGCACACTTACTTTAAGCTTTTGCACTTGTAGTTTTCATTGTCTGAGCCTTCTTGCTGGTAGTATCTGTATTTTAGGGTTCTGTGAAAGTTTGCTTATCAGAGAGACTTTCCCCGATTACTCTCTAAAAGAGCATCCTTCATCACTTTTCTTTTTTTTTTAATTTAAAATGTTTTTCATTGGTGGGGAGTGAACCCAGGGCTTCACATGTGCTAGGTAAGTACTCTACCATTGATCTACACCCCACTTCTGTTTTTTCTTCATAGCACGTATTTCTTCATAGCACAACAGTACATATTTGTTATCTGTTTTCGCTTGTAGACTTGAAGTTGCATGAGCGCAGGTTTTTTGTTTTTGTTTTTTTAATTCACTCTTGTATCATCAGTACCTGGCATATAATGGGTGCTCAGTAAATATTTGTGTAGTTGGGTTGGTGTATTACAGGCCTGGCAGTGGTAAATGCAGGGGGGTGACTGTTGAGTTCAGGAGATGGAAAGGAAAAAGAATTACTAGCATCCCAAAGCTTTTTTGTACTTTTTCTAAAGCTGGTAGAAGTAGTTGCCTTATATAATTTAGAAATTGATATTTATCAAAAAATATTTGGTTATATTCCATGTAAGATGAAGATGACGACTTTATGTGTAAGAAAGCAGCCTCTAAATCAAAAGAAAATGGAAGATCTACAAATAGTTATCTTGGAACATCAAACATGAAAAAGAATGAAGAAAACACTAAGACCAAGAATAAACCTTTATCACCAATAAAACTTACACCAACCTCAGTGCTTGATTATTTTGGAACTGGAAGTGTCCAAAGATCGGATAAGAAAATGGTAGCAAGCAAAAGAAAACAAGTGAGTGTTCCACATGCAAGGAAGAATTTTCAGATGATATAGCCATGTACTGATGTTAATAAGAGGAAAAAATAGGATGTTATAAATGGGTCAGCATGTTTTATTAATGAAAACAATTTTCCTGTGATTAGGATAAAATGTGTTGCCCTCATTTTAGAGGACAAAGAAATAAGATACTACATAATTTTTCTTTATACTTCAAAACAGGAAAAAGGTATGAGGACTATTAGAAAAAGTTATAGTTCTTAGAATTTAAATTGTTTTCTCATAATACAAACTCATTTTACTTGTGACTTCAACCAGACAAAATTAGATAATAGATTTGTTCCCAAATGAAGTCATAAATACATCCCTTATGAATATGCTATATTTGACCTTCTCTACTGGAGTTAGATTTATCTTTTTCTGGCTGTATAGAAATTATAACTTAGCAAATTAACCTGCCCAGTAGTGTGTGTTTGTTGATTTCATATTAGTGCTACCATGGGACAATGTGATCATTCTTATGTTGATTTGCCAGTAAAGTTGACATTTTGGCTGGTGTGGGTTACAGCTATTACTGATATACTTATCTCATTGGTGTGTTTAATCAGCTATTATAGTCAAGAAAAAAACACCTTATTTTTAACTTGTTTTATGCTGATACTGTTTAATTTTCTTTGAAATATAGCCTTCACAGAATACAAATGATTCCATATTAAATGATGAAGTCATCGCCAAGCAATTGCAACTTGATGAAGATGCAGAGGTATTGGCATTTTACTTAGGAATCATTAATAACTTGATGTTTTGATGTGCTGTAGCTAGGCAAACAGTCAAGATAGTTCTAGTTTAGTTTTGAATTGAGCTTTATTGGAGATTATGTGTAAAGTAAGTTAAAATCTAACATATGAAACTCTAAATAATCTATAAAAGATAAATTATGAGACCAAGGGATAATTTTATCTTTAGAGTTTTTTTTTTTTTTTTTGGCTGGGGGAGTACTGGGGATTGAATTCAAGGGCACTTGACCACTGAGCCACATCCCCAGCCCTTTTTTGTGTTTTATTTAGAGATAGGGTCTCATTGAGTTCTTTAGTGCCTTGTTTTTGTTGAGGCTGGCTTTGAACTCGTGATCCTCCTGCCTCAGCCTCCCAAGTCACTGGGATTAAAGGCATATGCCACTGCCCGACTCTTAAGAGTTCTTTAGTGGGAAGCTCCTTCAATATATTTAAAATAACTTAATTTGCTCATATCTCCTATTTTTACTATGAGCAATCTCATCCATTCCTGTGTTTGTAATTATTATTTATATGCTGATGACCCCTAAATCTGTCTCCAGTATAGAGTTCTCTTTTGACCTCCAAACACTTATATTCATTCAGCATTTATTAGGCATTTACTCTATGCTTTCAAATACAAAAGAACACAAGCATCTCAGTATGTTGATTGTTTTTACAGCTGGAGAGGCAATTGCATGAAGATGAAGAATTTGCCAGAACGTTAGCCATGTTGGATGAGGAACCCAAGACCAAAAAGGTGCATTATAATGGGCTGTTTGCATTCTGAATATACACTATAGATCAGTGTTGTGTATATTCTAGGCTCTGGAGATATAGCCATGAGTGACTTTCCCAGAAAGAAGCTAAATTTTTATAATTTATAAAAATGTTTTTGGAGAAACTCATTGGAAAATTTGTTCTTCCTAAAAGAGTGCAAGAACACAAAAATCCAGAATCTTTACAGGGGGCTTTTATGTATTTGTTCAGGGAATAATGCTGATAGGACATAAATTTAGTAACTTTAATTTTAATCACTGTCTTTTCAGCAAGCTTAATTTTGCTGTTTTTAAGCTGACTTTAAGATCTATATTAGGGCAATCTTAAAAAATAATCAGTATATTTTTGGCATAAAAATTTTTTTTTTTTTTTTTTTTAAGTAATAATCAGTGTCCTTGTTGCCCTCAAACTCACAATCCCCCTGCCTTAACCTCCTCAGTGGCTGGGACTATTCATGATGTTTTCTTTCTTTCTTTTAAAAGCACTGGATCTTTAATAAAGTAGCTTTATTTCTAATCAATCACATTTTGGTTTTATTTCTGATGAATCAGTATAATTGTCAGTACCAATATCTGACTGTTTGCCAGGCAAAGAGGGCACGCCTGTAATCTCAGTGGCTTGGGAGACTGAGGCAGAGGGACTGCAAGTTCAAAGCTAGCTTCAGCAACTTAGTGTGAGGTCTTAAGTAACTTATTTGAGACTCTGTCTCAAAATAAAAAAATAAAATAAAAGGACTGAGGGTGTGGCTCAGTGATTAAGTGACCCTGGGCTCAATCCCTAGTACAAAAAGAAAGCAAGGAAAGCCTTATACATAAAGATATTCAAATTATAACAAATACTATATTATCCCATTTATAAAATGAAATTTTGAGGGAGCAGTGGAGATATTGGATATTTTTCTCTTTTGAGAAAGTGCTTTTTAATTTTTCTTTAAGCTTTAGTGTGTGTTCACTTTATTTTGGTTTACATTTTAGTTTTGAACTGCATAACACAGTTTGAGAGTTGAAATAAAAGAAGCAAACGTAGGCTTCCATTTCCAGTTTGGCAGGTTGTTATGTAACGCAATAATGTTTTATAGATGTATTTTTACAGTCTTTCATCTGTTTCCTTATCTTCATTTTATCTGTAAAATGAGGTTAGAAAACATGCTTCATTTGCTGTAGAAATCTTGTAGTTAAATGAATGACAGTTTACTGTAGTGTTTTCCTAGTTTGGAAGGTGACCCTTGAATTTAAAAGTAAAACTTTAATTCACAATGAATTATGTGGTAATAATGTTCCTATATTTGTCACACTTGACACTTTTTAAATCTGTTTAGGCCCAAAAGAACACTGAAGATGGAGAAACGTTTTCATCTGCCCAAGCCAATTTAAGTAAACCAGAAAAACATAAATATCCTCATAAAGGTAATACTAGCAGAAGAAAGTAAGAATGCTTATATTTGTAGAAGAGAATTCTTAGAATTCTCTTAAACATTTTGATAATTGTATTAGGTAGACATTATTTCATGAAACTATTACAGATGCTCCTGGACTTATGGTGGGGTTACATTCCAATTAACTTAGAGTTGAAAATATCATAACTTGAAAATGCATTTAATACACCCCATTTTCCAAAAGTATAGCTCAGCAACAAAGTACACTGTATTTTATAGCTGCTTCCTCTTGAGGAAGTATCTTATTGCATATTTCTAACTCTGGGAAAGCTCAAAATTCAAAATTTCAGGTACATTTTCTACTGAATGCATATTGCTTTTGCACAGAGTAAAGCTGAAAAATCAGTTGAATCATCATAGGTCAGGGATCATCTGTATTTTGAGAGCTCTTTGGATACTAGCTGGTGGAGTATGCCTATCTGCTCTAAGATTGTTATGATAAATGTGTTATGGCTCTTGGCTTCCTGTTAATTTCCAATATATTACATGTGGACTTCAATATATGAAGACAACTAAATGCTTTGAGCTTTTCATGTTATAGTTTTAGAGTTGACTTACGGTTGTCCAGGTCATCTGAAGGTCTTCTACTGATTGTTTTGGGGTTTATTCTTTAATGGCCTTGATATCAAATCAACTGCTAGTGTAATCATCTTTCTTTATTAGTGGAGGATTGGTTTCAGGACCCCTGAGGATACCAAAATCTGTGGATGCTGAAGTTCCTTATATATAAAATAATAGGATTTCATATAACTTATGCACAGCCTCTTGTATACTTTAAATAATCTCTAGATTACTTAACACAAGAGGAATGCTACATAATTATACAGTGTTGTTTAGCGAATAATTAAAAGAAAATATCTGTACGCATTCTGTACAATTTAAAAAAATGCTTTTCTTAGCGTATTATAGTTATGCATAATAGTTGTTCATTTTGATATAATCATACATTGCATGTAATTCATTTATTTATTTATTTTTTTTAAAGAGAGAGAGAGAGAGGGGAGAGAGAGACAGACAGAGAGAGAGAGAGAGAGAGAGAGAGAGAATTTTTAATATTTTATTTTTTTAGTTCTCGGTGGACACAACATCTTTGTTGGTATGTGGTGCTGAGGATCGAACCCGGGCCGCACGCATGCCAGGCGAGCGTGCTACCGCTTGAGCCACATCCCCAGCCCCACATTGCATGTAATTTAAATTGCTCCATTTCAGTCCCTTGGGCCACCTCTTGCCTCCTCCTTTCCCCCATTTCCCTCCTCTATTCTATTGGTCTTCCTCTTATTTATTTATCTATTTATTTTTAATTGGTGTTTCATAGATATTCATAAAGGTGGAATTCACTGTGGTATATTTATACATGCATATATCATAATATTGACATAATTTTTTAAACGTTTTATATTTGTTAAACAGGTCTAGTCCATCTGTGTTATTGACAGTTTTTTAAAAAAATATCTTTATTTAATTTATTTATTTCTATGTGGTGCTGAGGATCAAACCCAGTGTCTCATGCATCCAAGGCAAGTGCTCTACCACTGAGCTACAATCACTTGACACAGTTTTAAAAAATATTTTTGATTCATGATTGGTTGAATGTATGAGTGTGGGACCCTCAGATGTGGAGGACTTACTGCATAGATGATCTTAATCCTATGAGTAAATCTGTTTATGAAGTATCTTTTGGTCTTCACACCTCTGAATTTTGAGCTTGCCAACCATAGAATTTTTATGTGGCATATTCTAGTCAGTAAGTTTCTCTGTGTAGGGCTGGGGATGTGGCTCAAGCGGTAGCACGCTCGCCTGGCATGCGTGCGGCCCGGGTTGGATCCTCAGCACCACATACAAAGATGTTGTGTCCACTGAAAACTAAAAAATAAATATTAAAAAATTCTCTCTCTCTCTCTCTCTCTCTCTCTCTCTCTCTTAAAAAAAAAAAAGTTTCTCTGTGTAAATTTCAGAGCACATTTGTGGTGTGATGTTGTTTACAGTATTATAGCCAGAAATGAGTAGTTTGTATTTAAAATGACAGACAAATCTCTTAATTTTTGAACTGTTTTTTTAAAGAAGCAATATGTAAATGTTTAATTTTTTAAAAATAGATATGCCATATAAGCTAAGAAATGAAAATATTAATGTTTTGCAATCACTGTGTTATACTATGTACAACTAAAATCATTCAGTTGAAAAGAAAAAACCAAATAAACAAATGGAGTGTTGATATTGGGTGTTGTTTTCCAAAAAGAATAATCATAATCTTTTCTTCCTAGTAAAACCAGAACAATTTTCAAATGCAAGAAAGAGCTATAGTCCTAATAAGTCAACTAAGTGTGAAAACTCAAAAGAATCTCAGCAACATTCCAAGTCATCAGGAGAATCCTCTTCTCCAAAGGCTAGTTCTAAGTTGGCACTTATGAAAGCAAAAGAAGAGAGTTCCTATAAAGAAACAGAGCCTGTGGCCTCAAAAAGAAAAGACAGTGCCAATGAGTTGAAAGGAGAGAAGAAAACTCCTAAGAAAACCAAAAGTTCTCCAGCTAAAAAAGAGGTATGAACTTTCTGAACAGTATGTATCTCTGCTAGCTGGACTCAGTGGTGCATGCTGTAATCCCAGCAATTTGGGAAGATATAGCCGGAGAATCACAAGTTCGAGGGCAGCCTCAGCAATTTAGTGAGACCCTAATCAACTTAGCGAGACCCTCTCTCAAAATAAAAATAAAAGGTCTGAGTAATATAGCTCAGTGATACAGTGCCTCTGGGTTAAATCCCCAGCACCAAAAAAAGTTTATTTTGGGGCTTTGTGTTGATCTGAGTTTGATTGCTTTCAGATTTTATTTTCAACTGCCAATCATTACAGATCTTTTAAGATACTATTTATGGGCGGTGGTGGGTGTAACTCAGTGGTAGAGTGCGTGTGTAGCATGTGCCAGGCCCTGAGTTTGATCTCCGGAAGGTACTTTTTATTTTAAACTATTACATAATTATAGTTAAGTTAGCCAGTATTTATTGTTAATATGTATCAGATATTTTGCTAATATGTTATATATGGTATCATAATATTTACAATAACCCTGTGAAATATTTTCTTTTATTATTCAAGTTGTAAAGGTGAGGAAATGGCTGAAAGAATTTAAGTAACTTTTATAAGATTAACCACATAGTTAAGTGGCAGAGAACTCAAGACAAAAATAACAGTGCAACATAGTGGCTCCAAACATAGGCTCTGGAGCCAGTTTCCAATCCCAGCCCTAGAACTGAGCAGATTTGTGACCTTGGTCTGGTTGATTCCCCTGTCTATACGTCAAAATAATAATAGTACCTAATGATTCAATCTGTAAAACCACTTAGACTGTGCCTGGGATATAGTAAGTGCTGTGTAAGTTGTAGCTAGTATAATTATAAGAATTTTTGTTTGTATTTTTCCTGAAGTTATTCCTTTTTTGTTCTCGTATGATAGTGTTGAGGTACTGAAATCATTTCCAAAGGAAAAATGGTAAAATAATGAATGCTTTTCAAAAGTTTATATATATAGGAAGCTAATGTTCTTTTTTGAATCTGCAATTTGGAACACTTTAGATTCATAATGAGAAACCATTGTTCCTTCATGCTAGGCACTTATCATTAAAAGCAGAATACTGTCTATTTTAACTGCTCATCATCATTGCTTTTTAGTGCAAAACCATGAAATGGTGATGATTTTGAAATGCTTTTGTTTGTGGGTAGTGCTCATAAATACGCTTAAAGGAGCAATTAACTTTTTGGTCTCAGATTTTTCTTCACTAAATACTTATCTGGTAGATGAATGTTTTTCTTCAGGCACACTAAACATGTTCAGTTTACAGAGGACATGTATTTTTATGAAATAAAAGGAAATTTTTAACGATATTATTACTTTTTTTTTTTTAACTGTTACTCTTTATGATAGTTTTCAAAGTTAGAAAGAACTCAGAACTTTTACTTAATAGTTTTGGGAACATCAATGTTTAGTAAATTCAGTTGATCTCAAATAAATCTAACTTTGTAAATGGGTATGCTTCAAAGTTATTTTATAAGTTGTTTATATTTCAGATTTTTTCCCCAATGAATTAATGTTATAAATGAATAACATTCCCATGTTGGTATGCATTGGACTCCCTTGTAAAGCTTGTTAAAAATATGGTTTTTCAGGGCATGTGGTATGGGCAGATATAGTTTAATAATCAATGTGTGGAGCCATTGTTAAAAAGTAGGGTTAGATTCTATATTGGCTTATTTAACTCATAACCAAACAAGCTTAACTATTTTATTAGTTATATCATTTATTTATATAGAAATGTTTTTTCTATTCTCAAAGGGATTTTGGGTTGCTTATAAGTTAAAAATAATGTAAAATAGGAAGTAGAAAAATCAATAAAGACCATCTAGTAGTGGTTCTTAAATCAGAACCTAGGACCCTCCCTTCCCCTCCCCTCAGGTATACCTATCCTAGCCATTCCCCAGAATATTCTGAGCTATAATAAAATGGTAAGAGCTCTTAAGAGAGCTAGATAGGAGAGGTTAAGCACAGAAGGGATAATGGTGGCACACAGAATTTGAGTGTTCTGTGAATTATCCCAAAGGCCATAGGTAAACACGAGATCTTCTTGGATTAATAGATTTAATTGTAAAGGAATTTATCTTTCTGTAAATAATCATGGATTTAGCATGGAATAGAATGTAAAATCCACATGAATTTCTAAAATAAAATAGTTTCCATTTCCTTACTTAGAATTGGCAACTTGGCTTATGCCATGGATCTGCCCTGAGGTATGTGACTTTAGAGAGAGTAGACTGTTTTGAGAAGGGCCGATGCAGGGGTTTGTAAGTCAGGCATCCTGGAGTACTTATATAACTCAAATTGTTATTTTCAGGATAAAACACAGAAGTGTCTTTAATGTTTATTTCTAGATATGTATTTTTAATTTTACATGAATTTTGCATGACTTTATTCAATTTCCTTTTCTGCTCCTTAAAGTCTGTAAGTCCAGAAGATTCTGAAAAGAAACGAAGTAATTATCAAGCTTATCGAAGCTACTTAAATCGAGAAGGTCCCAAAGCTCTGGGCTCCAAAGAAATACCAAAGGTAAGAGTATTGAGCGAGTATGCCACCTCTGCCTTGTGGGTCCATGTGTGCATTCAGTATGCTTACAGTATCAGAGTAAGAATGAAAAATTAAAAATAAAAAACTAAGCCACAACTTTATGAATGAATGATGTTTTTTCAAATTATGAATCTCTGCCTGATACTTAAATTCCTTTAAATAATAAGTAGCCTGAGAAGGGCTAGGCTCTGAGAATACACTGGTGAGAAGACAAATGCCTTTGCCTTCATGCACTTATAGTTTAAGGGGAAAGATTAAATAGATTATTATTTATTTGTAATTATATGGCCATGATGGAAAAATCCAGGGTTCTCTTAATATAATAGAAGAAGTAGGGCCTGGGTGGGATATGAAGAATACATGGCATTTATTCATGGGGGCTTTAAGAATGACGGGGATTCACAGGTGTCATGGGGTTGTGATGGCATGGTGACAAGCAAAAGAAAACTGATACCGTTTCAGCAAAGTGACCAAGGAATGAGAGGGACTATATCTTTTGGGGCACCATGTTTCAGGCTTCTGTGTAAGAAAAAGAGTTGTAAGTGGGGAATGACTTGACCAGATTGCATTGTTAAATAGCACTGTGGTTGCTGAGTCTGGGGTGCTGTGGCAAGGCAGGAATAGAAAGGGGAAGATCAGTTAGGAGCTGTGGTAGGAAAAGATAGGCCTGTATGAGGGAGCAGTGAAGGTAGACCTGAAGTGGTTTCAAGGGAAGAGGTAAATCTGCAGGACTTGGTGGTAATTGGAAGAGGGAAATGAGGAAGAGTGAGCATAAGGATGGTCTACTGGTTATGAGCAACTAGGTGAACACTGGTGCTACTGGAGCAGAGCCAGTTTAGAAAGATGCGGATGAGTTCATTGCCGGTCATGCTATTTTCAGTGTCCGTGCAGAGATGCTGAGTAGGCAAATATGTATGTAGTAATGGAGCTCAGAAGTCAAGACTGGACGTAAACTTGGGCATTATTCGCTTAGGTAATATTTGAAGGGATTAATATTGTCTGAGAGTTGAACTGAACAGGAGGAGAAGAGGGCCTTGTCCCCAGTATCTTTGTGAAGTAGAGGGGGTTGAAAATCAAAAGGAGACAGAAAAAGAAAAACCACTAACATAAGAGAGAAGTCTCTCAAGGGTGGTATCACAGAAGCAAAGGCAAGAGAGTACTTTTAAAATGATAAGAGTGGCTATTAAGTCTGTCATGTTAAGATTCTAAGAAAAGTGAGACGGGAATTTGTCATTTCACCTGGTGACATGAACAGTGTTCCTTGGTGACCCTAGCTAGAGCAGCTTCATTGGATTGATAGAGGCAGTGCCTGATGAAAGTGGGCTGAAGAGTGAGTGTGGGAGACAAAATGGAGACAGCACATGTAGCTTTGTATACATAACGACAAATGGAGATTAGTAGTTTCCCTAATACAGAGGGGCTGAGGATGGTGCAGCTGTGGGGTGGCAAGGGGAAAGGGGTAAACCTGGAGGGGCTTGTGGATTGTACAGGAAGCTTTAGAAAGATGTTAGTCTAGTGCCCAGGCATGTCACTGAAAGACTAAATAAGTCACTAATTGAGAGGACTTTAGGCAAACTGGTGTCCTTAGGCGACAGTTGGGTTTCAGTGATGGAAAGACTGTGGAGGGAATGTTGGAAAAGAGATTGAGAAGAGGTTTGCTGCTCCTGGAGTAAGGCCTACAGAGGAGTCCTAGAATGGAAGGGCTGGGTAAGGAGGCTGGAAGTGCTGAGGTTGGATAAGCAAAGAGACATTCAGAATCATTGTGGGGGATTGCTTAGGAAATAGCAGATGATTGGGGTTTGAGTTATAGGGGCTTCCCCATGTGGTCTGTTCCAGGGTTATTTTGAATCTGTCAAGAAGGAAGTACCTGTAGTATTGCATTGGCTCATTTCAATCCTAGAACTGTGGGCCTTGAAGGGACCTTGAGATTTTATTAGTCGAACTTTTTCTTTCCAGCCAAATTCATAGCTATTTCTCTTTTGTCTTCTAAGAAATAATCTTCACCTAGATGGGAAGGATTGATCTTGTGGTAGGGTAGTCTTTGGATTTTGTGTAGCTGCTTTTCAAACCTGTTTTAAGTTTGTATTGATCTCAGTTCTCTACTCAAAGAGTAATAGTAGCCTGGCATGTTGGCACACGCCTGTAACCCCCATGGCTTGGGATGCTGAGGCAGGAGGATCACAAGTTCAAAGCCAGCCTCAGCAACTTAGCAAGGCTCTAAACAATTTAGTGAGACCTTGTCTTGAAATACAAAATAAAAAAAGGGGGTGGGGATGTGGCTCAGTGATTAAGCACCCCTGGGTTCAATCCCTGGTTAATAACAAAAAAATAAAACAGAGTAATAGTAATTTGGCTTGTCATGTATGATTTTCATTTTGCTTGGTTGTGTAATTTCATTAATCTATTGTTAAAATAAAAGTCTATAACATATATAGACTTATATGGTTGCAAATATATAGTTGCAAATATGATTATGTCTTCTCCATCCAGCTTCCTTTGGCCAGTGTGCCTTAGATTATCAGTTATCTTTCCAATCAAGGAATAATATGATCTTGCCTTTAAGTTCCTGCCAATTGTTGGATTTACTGTCCTAGCAGAGTCAGCAGAGAGAAGGGGAGGTTGCAGCCTCATAAGATTTTCATAATTAACTTTCCCTTTTTAACAATAGCAAGAGTTTCTGTGGGTGGATTGCATTTGGTTGTTTGAAGTTATGCAAGTTGATTAACTAATTGAAATATAAAAGAACAAAATGGAAAATTGCATGAATGGGTACTTTTAATGAGTTTTGCTAAGAGAATTGTTTTTCTTGTAGCTCATTTAAAAAAAATTGAGAAACGCTAGCTACATAAGAATTTCTCAGGATTTAGTTTCAGGTTCTGCTTATTTGCTGTAAATTTCCAGCCAATTTTTCATGCCAAGGTTACTTATGATGTCAAATAGAAAAATCAGCTTGCTGCATTTTTGATGCCAAATATTTCTTTGGAAAGCTACCATGTAATTTCTTCTCTGTGTGAACATTTTTGGTTTTTAGGGAGCTGAAAATTGCTTGGAAGGCCTTATATTTGTGATCACAGGAGTGCTGGAGTCCATTGAACGAGATGAAGCCAAGTCTTTAATTGAACGTTATGGGGGAAAAGTAACAGGAAATGTCAGCAAGAAAACCAACTACCTTGTCATGGGTCGTGATAGTGGACAGTCCAAGAGTGATAAGGTGGGTCCTGCTGTGCCCCCCGAAATGTGGGAGCCTGCTTTCTTGGCATGCTCTTGGTGTGACTGTGCGTACTAAGTAATGCCTTTATATAGAGAGTTAAATGAGGGAAAATAAAGGAAAAGTAATTTCATTCGTTATTTCTTCTCTGTATAAGTGCTGTTAGCTTTGACCCCAGGCTCTTGGTTTTCCAATTGAAGGCATAGTTCCTGTTTATTTGACTTCCTTAGTGTCTTCTAGTTAATAATAATTTTTTTTTTAAGATAGAGAAACAAATGCAGTTTTCTTTTTTCTCTGGCTCTAAGTATTCCTGTATATGTCGTGATATACTCCATCCTAATTTTTTTTTTTTTTTTTAAACTGGAATCTCTAAGGGAAGATTGAGGTCTGTTAGGTTGGATTGTGTTTAGCTCCAAGTAAAAGAATATTCAACTCAACTTGTGATTCAGACAAACTGCTGCTTATTTTCCTCACCTGACAATAATGTCAGAGGTCAGCAGTTGGCTCAGCAGTTGGGCAGTGTAGCCAGGGTAGTGCCACCTTCCATTGCCATCTTCCTTTAGTCCTCATGCCTGTCGCCTTGTGATTGCAAGGTAGCTGCATTCAAGGCAGGACAAAGGACACAGGGGCAAGATGTCATAATAGCTGTGAGTGGCCTGACAGGCATCTTCCCAGAAACATCTCCTGAAGAGTTCCACCCAAGTGTCATTGGCAAGAGCTGGCACATGGACATTCAGAGCTCTAATGGAGGTTGGGGAGGAACAGGAATTCTCTGATTGCCTTAGACCAGACATACTCCATCACTTGGAGATGGACACATTGCAGTTGTGCTAGCAGGGAAGAAGGTGATGGAAGATGAGTATGAGTCAAACATAGGAGAGGGTGTGAAGAACTGGACCTAGATCCAGTTTGCCCTTTTCTGGGAGGAAAGATAAAGCAGTAATGTTAGCTGAGTGTGATGGCGCACACCTGTAAACCCGACAATTTGGGAGGCTGAGGCAGGAGGATTCCAAGTTCTAAAGCAGCCTTAGCAATTTAGTGAGAACCGGTCTCCAAAAAATAAAATAAATAATAATAATAATGTGATACTTCAGCTGTTAGCATATCACTCTTAGGGAGTTTATCTATCATTTTCTACCCCCAACCCCCTTCTTTCTTTTTGGTACCGGGGATTGAATCCAGGGATGCTTAACCAATGAACCATATTCCCAGCTCTTTTTTATTTTTTTTAACTTTGTTTATTTAATTTATTTACGTGGTGCTGAGAATCAAACCCAGTGCCTTACACATGCTAGGCAAGCGTTCTACCACTGAGCCACAAACCCAGTGCCCCCAGCTCTTTTTTAATGTTTTATTAGAGAGTTGCTAAGTACCTCACTAAATTCCTGAGACTGGCTTTGAACTCATGATCCTCCTGCTTCAGCCTCTAGGAGCTGCTGGGATTACAGCCGTGAGCCACCGTGCTTGGTATTTTCTTTCTTTCTTTTTAACGGTGCTTTTTCAGTGAATGTTTTTGCTTTTTAAAAATTCCATTGTTGCTGGGTGCAGTGGCACATACCTGTAATCTCAATGGCACAGGAGGCTGAGGCAGGAGGATCACAAGTTTGAGGCCAGCCTTAACAATTTAGCATGACCTTAAGCAACTTAGACCCTGCCTCAAAATAAAAATTAAAGAAGAATTGGGGATGTAACTCAGTACTTCTGGTTTAACCCCTAGTACCACCCCCTGAAAAAAAAATTTAGTGTTACCTAATTTACAAATAGGCCTTGGAATTTTTTTTTTTCCCCTCTTATAAAAATGAATGGATAGGGTGCAGTTTTGATGATTCTCATTTTTTTAAAAAAAATCTTATTCTAATTTGTTATATATGATAGCAGAATGTATTACAATTCATATTACACATATTACAATAGAGCACAATTTTTCATCTCTGATTGTATACAGAGTATATTCACACCATTCATGGCTTCATACATCTTAGGGTAATGATGTCCATCTCATTCCCTGTCTTTTCTACCCCCTTGCCCCCTCCCTTCCTCTCCCATCCCTCTGCCCTATCTAGAATTCGTCTAATCCTCCTATGCTCCCCCTCCCAACCCCACTATGAATCAGCCTCCTTATATCAGAGAAAACATTTGGCATTTGGTTTTTTGGGATTGGCTAACTCCACTTAGCAGTGATGATTTTCTTTTCTTTCTTTTTTTTTTTTTTTCTAATTTTTTTTTTAGTTGTCAATGGACCTTTATTTTACTTATTGATCCATGTTGCTGAGAATCAAACCCAATGCCTCATACATGCTAGGCAAGCGCTCTGCCACTGAGCCACAACCCCAGCCCCTGATGATTCTCATTTTTAATCAACAGGCAGCAGCCTTGGGGACAAAAATTATTGATGAAGATGGACTGTTGAATTTGATTCGAACTATGCCAGGCAAGAAGTCTAAATATGAAATAGCAGTTGAAGCTGAGGTTTGTATAAATGAACTTGGTTTATTTAAGTCAAAATGTAGAAACATTTTCTATTTCATGCAGACATATCTTATGTGGATACCAGTTCATTGGCTAGAAGATTAACTGTTCGTTTTACCACAAATGAACTTAACCTTATTTCCTTTTGACTTGGAGGACTCTCTTCAGGGTGTCTTCTATGGTGTATTTCCTTGGCTTTCTCAAAAGAATATGTAGAGAAAGGGAGGCATAGAGAGGGCAGTGTATTACATGTATGGACTTGTTAAACTTTCCTTGTATCTCACATTCTTGTGTTGACTTTACAGCAGAAATTAATGCTTAGGAGTTCTTTAAAGGAAATGTTCTGGGCATTAGCATGATTAGTGCTTAGTCTGAACTATTAGGGCTTTTTCTGTTGAGACAGAAACTCAGCTTGTCTTGGTTTCAGCAAAAAAACAAAAAATGTAGTCAATTAAGCTAAACTAAGAGCCGAGTGGGTCTTGAGTAGGAACTCAGGGTCCAGTGCTTTCAGAACCCTTTGATTTTCTGTCTCTGCTTCTTTTAGTGTTACCCTCATTCATTCCAACATTATATAGCTGCTTTTCTCAAAGCAGGACATAGGAGTTCTAGCATCCTGAGATTAACAACTCCAGCACTGTCACCAATGTGATCCACCCAGTTTATGACAGTTAGAAAAATCTGAGGGGATGATTTGTATTGTGTAACTGTAGTAAAGTTGTTAAAAACAGGAAGTTAACATTGTTTTGGAGAATCTTTCAGTTTTGGTTTCTTTGATGTTTTCCGTTAATTAGATTGAGTTTAATTGTTTTGGCAGGAGTTTCCCAGGAGTGGTATGATATGTACATGATTCCTAGTGCATGACATGTATATAATGCAGTCATGACTTGTTCAGTTAGTTGGTTGACATGGTGCCTGCCTGGTTCTGCACTAGTAGAAAAACTGTTTTCCCCTCTGTAATTGATAACTATCTGAGGTAGATACTTGAAGATGATGCTAAATGTTCTATTTCTCCTTAAATATTTGTCCATGAGTTTTAGCAGGCATTAATGAAGACACTTAACTATTTTAGAAATTATGATATTATGTACATACCATAATTCGCCCTTTTAAAGTGTGTAAGTCAAGTGTTTTTAGTATAGTCACACAAGTGTGCAAACTTCACCACTGCCTATTCCAGAACATTGTCATTACTCCAAAATGAGATCTGAAACTCAATTGCAGTCACTCATCATACCCACCACTGCAGTTACTAATCTACTTTCTGTCTTTCTGGACTTGCCTATTCTGGACATTTCATGAAAACGGAATCATACAACATGTTGACCTTTTACTTAGCATAATGGTTTCAACGTTCACCTATGTTGTAGCATATATTAGTACTTTACTCCTTTTTATGGGTGAATAATGTTCTACTGTGTGGATATGGATTACATTTGTTTATTTGGTTATCAGTTGATGGACATTTGAGTTGTTTCCATTTTTTGGCTATATTATATATGTCATTTAATATAATGTTGCTGTAAACATTTAAGTACAAATTTTGGTGGAGCATTAGCTTTTAACTAGTCAGGAAACTTTAAAAACAAAAATCTTTTAAATCATTACTCTTTTTTCAAAGTGAAATTGGGTGGAGTTCTTATTACTTAACAGCATGTTCTTAGTTTTAGTATGTTTGTTGTTAATTTAAAAAATATATTTTTAGTTGTAGATGGGCATGGCACCTTTATTTTATTTACATATTTTTATGTGGTGCTGAGGATTGAATCCATTGCCTTACACGTGGTAGGCAAGCATTCTACCACTGAGTCACGACCCCAGCCCTGTTGTTAATTTTTATAAAGTTTGAAAAGTGGTGATTTCCACAAACCACAGGTTCCATCATTAAAAGACCAACCCAGATTGAGTAACTCAATGATCGAGTAACCTGGGTATCTTAGGTTGCTCTTGAGTACATTTTGCAGCATTGAAATTTTCTGTGTCTCATCAGGTTTCTTTTTCTCTAATTTTTCTGCTTTTTAAGATGAAGAAAGAAAAATCCAAATTGGAGAGAACACCCCAAAAAAATAATCAAGGAAAAAGAAAAAGTAGTCCAACCAAGAAGGAATCAGAATCTAAAAGGAACAAGCTAACTCCTAAAAGGGACAGTTCTGTAAAGGCAATAAAAAAGGAGACACAGGAAACAAACGTGCCTCGGAAAGCCCTGAACTTTAAGGAGCAGGTGGCCCAGGACACACAGGGTGACAGTAAGGCTAGGGATTTGGCTGACAGCGGTGAAAGCAAAGTGGAAAATTTGCTCTGGGTAGATAAATACAAGCCAACTTCACTCAAGACTATAATTGGACAGCAAGGTGACCAGAGTTGTGCCAATAAACTGCTACGCTGGCTCCGAAACTGGCACAAGAGTTCTCCTGAAGAGAAGAGACATGGTGATTTCACAACTTCACTCATTTTGTGTGTCAGCATGTAATTGCTCAGTCGCACACATATGCAAAAGGTTAATGGTTGGTTCATTCATTTGTCACCAAGCTCTTATTGAGTCTTGCTCTGAGCCTAGGTGCTCTACTAGACCCTTGTGGTGCTGTTGTGAACAAAGCTCCTCAGGAGCTCAAAGGTGGTAGGGGAGACATATGAACCAGCCATTAAAATGCATTGTGCCAAGTACTGTTAGAGGGGTAAGTACAGGGTGCTTCTGGGGTGGAGGTGTGGGGTCAGGGATGAAGATGTGTGCTCCCATCCTGCAGGAATGGATGGCTATGCTAAGGCTTGGAATCCAAGTAGGAGATAGCCAGGTAAAGGGATGGGTGGATTTGGGGTGGGAAAGAGAGAAGAGTGCCCAGAGCTGTAGGGTGAAAGGTGTAAATAAGGCATGTACACAGAGTAGGTATCCTAAAATCCTAGCAGTGTGTGATTTGCTTTTGTTAAGCTTAATAGACATGTACTTCAGTAGTTTCTATCCTTGTTTACCATGTAATTGTCATGAAAAATGAAAAGTCAAAATATATGTTAATGTCTAAAGTATTTTTGGAACTGAGGTTTCAGATCATGATATTGGTAGTGTTTTCTTAAGTTTCAGCCATAGCCCTAGAAGATAGTTTGTGAAAAGTTAGAAGACAAACTTTAGGAGCAGTATAGCAAATCCCCAAAGTGGTAACTGAGTCATTAATATCTGCATGGCTGCCTGACATTGCAAGCAATGCCAGTTTACTTTATTCATAACCGTTAAATAATGTAATTCTAATGACATAATTTAAGATTTAGTTAAATTTTTATTTTCTCTTCCTGAAACTGTATAAAACCTACCTTAAAAGGGGAACAAGTATTTTGTATGCCTGGAGAAGACTTTAAGACTACAAATGAACTGAAATCTCTTTTTCTGTGTCCATGGATAGCAGGTGCAATAATTTCTCGGTTATTGAGTATCCATTGGGTCTCTGTATGTTCCAGCACCCACGTAGTAAGGGTAGGAAGGAAGTTCTAGCTTTGAGCTGTGCAAGATAGTTGTAGACTTAGCATCTTTAACTTGTTATTTCTCCTTGTGCTCCTATAACTGATTCTGGTTGTTAGCATTTATTGAGGCAGACCCGAGTCTGTGCTTAGCACTTTGATCATCACACCACAGTATCAGCTACTTCACTGTTATTAATCTTGATTTTACAAAGCAGAAGACAGACATGGAGGGGTTCAGTCTTGACTCAAGTTCTCCCAGCTGGAGATGGGCGGAGTCAGGTCTGTGCTTTTGTAGAAAAGGAAACCTATAAAACTATTGTTTCACGTCAGAGTTTGAAAGCAAATTAGTTTTGTTCTACAAATTTAGAACTAACCTGGATGAATGCTTTCTGTGGATAGTTCACACATAACCTATTCCTGCCATTCCTGAATTTCTGTTGGGTGACCCAGGTAACACTCTGAAACTTTTTTTTCTCTGGCAGCAAAGTTTGGTAAATTTGCCGGTAAAGACGATGGCTCTAGTTTTAAAGCAGCATTGCTCTCAGGCCCTCCTGGTGTTGGCAAAACCACCACAGCTTCTCTGGTGTGTCAGGTGGGTACACTGTCACTGTGGTTGGAAATAACCTTCCGTATCAGACAAATGCTAGTGTATAAAATGTGTGTATAAACATGCGGTGTATATTTTTCTAAAATCCAACTTTTAAAATCTGTTTTGGTTCTGGTGATATTTGTTATTTTCATCCTTTTTGAGGTAAATACACTAGTGCCCCTTATCTGTGGGTGATATATCCCAAACCCCCAGGTGGATGCCTAAAGCCACACAGATGGTACCATATCCTACATATACTGTTTTTCCCTATATGCCCTATAGCTTGCCACATAATACCATTGCCATGCAATCTGTCCTCCAAGTTTTGTACCATGTTACCTTCTTTGCATCACTACTGTTGTTCTTTGGGCCATTATTAAGTAAAATAAGGGTTATTTGAACATAAGCGCTGCCATACTGTTATACTTGATCTAATAAACAGGGCAGTTGCTAAGTGACTAATGGGCAGATAGTGTATACAGAATGGATATTCTGGACAAAGGGCTGAGTCACGTCCTGGCAGGATAGAGCAAGACAGCCTGAGCATTCAACATGCTACTCAGAATGGCATGCAATTTAAAACTTAAGAATTGTTTATTTCTGGAATTTTCCATTTAATATTTTCAGATTATGGTTGATTAACTGAAATCTCAAAAAGTAAAAAACTGTGGATAAGGGGGGAACTAATAAGTAAAATTTACCTTTGAGCCAGTCATTGTGCTGTTATTAAAGCACTTGGGTACATTATCTTAGATATAGGTTGAACATTCCTAATATGCAAATCTGAAATTGAAAATGCTCTGAAACTCCAAAACTTTGCTGAGCATTGCTGAGACACTCAAAAAGTTACAGATTTTGGAAAATTTGTGGATTCCAGGTTCTCAGGTTAAGCATGTTCATCCAGTAAAATCTATGTTAATATTCCCAAATCTGAAAAACCCTGAAACCTGAAACACTTCTGGTCCCAAGCATTTCAGACAAGGGGTACTCAACCTGTAATGTAAATAGCTGTTACAGACCCTGAAAGATACAAATAACTCATATAGTTTTGTAACTATTCTTTGTATTCAGTGTATGTCCTCTTATTAACCTCATGTGACAGGTAAAACACATGGGGGCACAATCTGAACCTGGGTGGTCTGACTCAGGTTCCTGCTCTTTCTTGTGTCTATTACTGCTAACTCTCTAGACAGTGAGAGGCACTAGACTAGAATATATCAGAGTTCTTGTGTTATCAGAGTAATAAGGGATTATAAATTTATTGCTGGGTTCCCAGTCCTTTGCCACATAAGCTGATAACTTATTTTGGTCTTTATTGTATGGATCAGAACCTAAAATTTAAATATAAGTGCTTATATACTTTTCACTGTATTTTTTAAAAAAAGCAAAGCATTTTTTTTCCTGATATCTACATTTATGAGCACTATTTTTTCTCCCTTGGTATCATTCCTTTTTTGTTTATAATGAAGAATAAGGCATTTTTAAAGCTAATCAGTTTTGGAAAATATCAGAATAACTTGAATTTTCCTGATTAAAGAGGAAAATTGTATTTTGGGACAGTTTGGCAAAGAATGACTTAATTTCTAATTTTATAATTTATCCTAGGCAAGAATTTTTTTTGGTATTTTATAATAGATTAATTCTTTATCTGCTATTAAATTCTTGGGATTTTTATATTTAAAATTTTAGGGCTCTAAGAAGCAAACTTTATAAAATTGTTTGTTTAAATATATTCTTCCAGATTAGTGATTTAGTAGCTGAGGCCTTAAGATTGAACTTTCATGTGTTTATATATATAGGTGTGCTGTCTATATGTGATATTTTAAAAAATGACTAATATTTTGAGACATAGTTAAAATCATTGACTTTTGTGACTATACTTTGTATTTTTACCCATGGTTCTTTATGTGATTTTTGCATTCTTTTCTTAATGAACTTTTCCTTTTTGTTTGTGGGAAAGAAATTAATTTGCATTGTGATAGTAATGATGTCTGATATTTGGATTAGGAATTGGGATATAGCTACGTGGAACTAAATGCAAGTGACACTCGGAGTAAGAACAGTTTGAAGGCACTTGTTGCTGAATCGCTGAATAACACCAGCATCAAAGGCTTTTATTCAAGTATGTGGCTTTTTGAACTGTTATTGTTATAGTATTGAGTACTGCTGTGCAGCAGGCACCCTGCTGAATCTTGGTGCTATCAAGAAAGTAAGAAAGTCCTCTGGCATAACCCTTATAGCATAATGGTTACCCTGCTTTAGGCTTTGAGGTTTCTGAGACTATGGTAAAATTTTTGCATTTTCAAATGATTTTAGAAGATTCACAGGAAAATAAATATAATTCCATGTGACGAATGAGGTAATAAGGCCTGCAGATGAGGAATGATTGTGTTTGGGGTTCTGGCTAAGCTAGCAAGCTGGGAAAGGATGGTATTTATTAGAAAGGCCTTGAAGAAAGAGAGATCTATTTGGAGGTAGAAAAATGTCATCTCAGGCAAAAATAGTAGAAGAGAAGAAAAAAACACAGTGTGGAAGTGTTCACTGTGTTTTAGGCTGTGGCTGGTGGTCCTGAACAGCCAGAGTTCACGGGGAGAATTAAGATGCCAAATTAAGGACTCAACTGACTGTTGAGAGCCGGAGGTGTACTGCTGCTCACCTGCATTCTTGGTGTTTTCAGTGGCAGAAAATCTTTCTTTAATGAAGTTGCTCAGGAAATGTCACTTATGGCTGGTGGGAGAGTTGCCTGGCTGTGTTTCTCAGAGTTTAATTATACACACCTCTAACCAGAAATTTTAGTTCCTGGTATTCAGTTATTACTATACTGGTTTAGGGACTGTTAAATTTACTATAAGTTACACTTAATATCCACACATGAGGATATTAAGTGTAACTTATAGTAAAAGCTTGGGAGTATGTTAATATTTCATTGGTAGATAGTGAGTGAGTAAATTATGATGCCTTTGTTAAAATGGAATATTAAATAGTCTTGAGAAAAATGAAGTGTTCTAGTTGCGTGCGGTGACACACACCTGTATTCCCAGCTACTTGAGAGGCTGAGGCAGGAGGATCACAGGTTTGAAGCTAGCCATAGCAGTTTAGTGAAACCCTAAGCAACTATCTCAAAATAAAAAGGGTTGGGAATGTAGTTCACTGGTAAAGCTTCCCTGGGTTAATCCCCAGTGTCAACAAAGGAATTGTTCTATATCTATAGACAAGGGAAAGCATCACCAAAAATATATTAAATGTATACTAATATAACATGTATAGAATTTCTCTTAAAGGGTATTCAAGAAAAAGTTGTGCTACAATTGTGTACAATGAATCAAAATGCATTCTGTTGTCATATATACCTAATTAGAATGAATGAATGAATGAATGAATAAATAAATAAATAAAATTTAAAAGACCCTAAAAAGGGCAGTGGGTGGGAATTCAAGAGACTATTGTTTGCCTCCGGGAAGGGAAACCCAACAGTAGGGGTGAAAGAATTTCCTTTTACTGCTTACTCTTAAAGCTTTTGAGATTCGTTGTATAATTATTTGTAAAGTAGCAGTTTTTGAACTTTGTTTTTCGTTTTTGTCCCATTCTATTGCATCTCACCCAGGCTCAGGTGGAGCAGCCCCTTCCGTAAGCATGAAACATGCGCTCATCATGGATGAAGTAGACGGCATGGCAGGCAGTGAAGACCGGGGCGGAGTGCAGGTACTGGAAGCATGTACTTTTTCAGTTTTACTGCTGATTTTTAGATTTTTAGAAAATATTCATTATGCATTGATAATTATAATTATTAAAGCATATTGTTAGGGAGGTTTTTAAAACCTAAAATATATTGTGTGATATTTTTGTTGTTTAAATAATTATTTTTGTCTTGCATATTTGTCTTTTAGGAATTAATTGGTCTGATAAAACATACTAAAATACCCATTATTTGTATGTGTAATGATAGAAATCATCCCAAGATTCGCTCTTTGGTTCATTATTGTTTTGATCTTCGTTTTCAAAGACCTCGGGTTGAACAGATAAAGGTATTAAGGTTCTTTTTTTTTTTTTTTTTTTAACCACACTATCTTGTTTATTTAAGCTAGATTATGAGTTCTAAAAAAATTATTAAAGATCCTTTCCTCCTTTTGAATTCCAGGGTGCTATGATGTCCATTGCATTTAAAGAGGGTTTAAAGATTCCCCCTCCTGCTATGAATGAAATAATTTTAGGAGCCAATCAAGATATCAGACAGGTAAATTAAATATATCTTATGGCAGTTGTTGATTCTTTTTCATTAATGCCTTCATTTTTTTTTTGATCTCTTTTTGATGTACATGAGAGTAGAGTATTTTGACATATTGTACATGCATGGAGTATAACTTATTAGGATCTCATTCTTGGGGTCATACATGATTTGGAGTTACCCTGGTCATGTATTCATAAATAAGGACAGGAAAGTTATGTCCAATTAATTCTGCTGTCTTCCCTAATCCTCCCCCTTCCCTCCTTTCCCCTTTGTCTAATTCAATGGACTTCTATTCTTCCCCTCCCCACCCTCCCTTATTGTGGGCCAGTATCCACGTATCAGAGAGAACATTTGGCCCTTGGTTGTTTGGGACTGGCTTATCTCACTTAGCATGATATTCTGTAGTTTCATCCATCTGTCCTGCTGGGAGGGGAAGCAGAGGTCTTTTCCCATCTTTCATTGTCTAATTTATGATTCTTTCAGGTTTTGCACAATCTAAGTATGTGGTGTGCGCGAAGCAAGGCGCTAACCTACGATCAGGCCAAGGCCGACTCTCATAGGGCCAAGAAGGATATCAAACTGGTAAAATACCTATCCGTTTCGTAGTTCTTCCCAAGCGCAGCACTTTTTGATCATAGGTACTAGCTTAATAGAAGTGGTATTGAGTTACTGTGCAACCCATGGATATTTATAATAAGACATTGTGGCTGGAAGTAGTTCTAATTCAAATTCATTTTTTCCTCAAGGATCGTTAATGTTATGATAAATTTTAAGAAAGGGATAAGTTTTAACTTATACTCATGCTTCAACAGTTACAAAATAGCTTTCCTAGAGTCCCTTATGTATGGTTTTAATTTTTTTTGTACTAGGGATTGAACTTGGGTGCCCTACCACTGAGCTATATCCCTCGTCCCTTTTTCTCCCCACTTTTTTTTTAATCGGTGCATTATAGTTCTACTTATTGATGGGATTTGTTGTTACATATTTGTACATGTATATAATATAACAATATAAATTTTAATTTGGCCAGATTCTCACTAAGTTTTTATTTTTAGGCAGATTATTACTAAGTTGCTAAGGCTGGCCTTGAGTTTATGATTGTCCTGCCTAAGGCTCCCATGTTGATGGGATTACCAGTGTGCCCCACCTAGTAGCTTTCGTGTTTTGAATGGTTTTGTACTATTTGGAATAATTTGTTTCAAATGGTTTAATTTAATCTCTATGAAACCAGAGGTCTATATCAATTTCCTCTGTGCTTCATTTAACTAGTCAGAATTTATTATTATGTTAGAGCATTGATTAAGTAATGTTTTTTTTCTTTCCACAATTTAAGTAATGGATTTAAAAAGAAATTAATATATTTTATTTTTTGATACAGTTTTAGGTTCACTGCAAAATTGAGTGGAAGGTGCAGATTTCTCCTGTACCTGTACTACTCCCTCCCCTGTAGGCACAGCCTTTCCCCCTGCTAGCCTCCCCTCCTGCCAGCCTTCCCTCCAGAGTGGTCCATTTGTAAATTGTAAAATTGTTGTACATTCTATGGTTTTTTGGTATGTGTCCACCATTGTTGTGTCATGTAGGGTAGGTTCTCTGTCCAAAAAAGTCCTGTTTCTTCATCCCTTTTCCCCACTTAAGCCCTGACAACCACTAAACTTTTTCCTGTCTTTGTAGTGTTGCCTTCTCAGAATGTAATATAGTTGGAATTACATAGTATGTAGACTTTTGAGGTTGACTTATTTCAGACAATAATATGCATATAAGGTTCCCTTTATGTCTTTGAATGATTTGATAGCTCTTTTTATTTTTTACTTGTTGAGTAATATTCCATTATCTGGATGTACCATAGTTTGTTTATCCAGATGCTGAAGGACATTTTGGTTGCTTCTAATTTTTGGCAATTATGAATAAAACAACTATAAAAATCTGTGTGCAGGTTTCTGTGTAGATGAAGTTTTTAGTTCATTTGGGTAGATACCAAGGAGTATGACTGCTGATGGTAAAAGTTAGTTTAGTTTTGTAAGAATCAGACTATTTTTCAAAGTGTTTGTGACAATCCCACCAGCAACCAGTGAGAGTGCCTTATCATTGTTGCTCTGTATCATTGCCAAATATTTGTTGTGTTCAGTGTTTTAGATTTTGAACATTCTAACAGGTGTGTCCTTTCTTCTTTTCAGGGCCCATTTGATGTTGCCCGGAAAGTGTTTGCAGTTGGAGAGGAGACTGCTCATATGTCACTTATGGACAAATCAGATCTCTTTTTTCATGACTATTCAATAGCACCCCTCTTTGTCCAGGAGAACTATGTGCATGTGAAGCCTGTAGCTGCAGGGTGAGCTTTCTGACTTCTGAGGGGTAGGACAGAGCTGGGAAGGCCACAGATTTGGGAGGGAGTGTCCTGGGGTGTAGATAGTGGTGTAATCCAGACTGGTTCTTTCCTGTAGGGGTGACATGAAAAAGCACTTGATGCTTTTGAGCCGAGCAGCAGACAGCATTTGTGATGGGGACTTAGTGGACAGTCAGATTCGGAGTAAGCAAAACTGGAGTCTTCTGCCCACACAGGTAGGTGTAGGGCTCTCCTTCAAGAGTGGACTTTGAAATTACATAGTATATAGACTTTTGAGGTTGACTTATTTCAGACAATAATATGCATATAAGGATTTTGCTTTAGCCAAAGAGAACAAAATAGTTTTGGGCTCCTACATTATTTAAGATACCAGGTGAATAATATGGCTTTTCTGGAAATACTATGATCTGTTATAGATGAAAACACCGTGATCACTATTGTCTGTTTACTAATCTGTTTTTATTTTTCAGTGTTTCAAAAATGTTTTTATCTAAATGTATGCTTGGAAAGAGGAAGGCTAGATATTGGTTATAACCAAAGATGTGAATAAAAAAATTTGTTTGCCCTGTTCTACCTTAAGAATTTATTTATTTTTTGTTATTTGTGGTCCTCCTAGAGGGTCACTAAGTAGCTCCTCCTCAAAGAAATGAGTCAGGTCAGGTCAGCAGTCATCTCTGATGCAGGAATTCCAATTTCCTTCTTTTTTGCTAACAAGGCAGCTTTTTGTTGGGTACTGTATTTTAGTTGATATCTTTTTAAAAGAATATATATTTTTTAGTTATAGGTGTATACAGTATGCTTTATTTTTATGTAGTGCTGAGGATCGAACCCAGGGCCTCACGCATGCTAGGCAAGCACTCTCCCTCTGAGCCACAACCCCAGCCCATAAGTTGATATCTTTAAGGGAAAGCAGAATTTGGCAGACATTTTTATTTAAGAGAGTTGTTAATTCCTATTTGAGTTTTGTTTTTAGCATTAGTGGCCTGAGTGATAAGCATGTGACTTTCAGAAGGCCCATTTTCATTTAATTCTACCCACACGTTGCTTGGAAATAGAAAACAAAGACTTATTCTGGAGACACAGAATCTTTTATGTTTTAAAAGTGTCTACCCCGCCTTAATAATTGTACCTTTGAGAATTTCTCTTAAATAATTTTAAATACAGAGAAATCTTTTTTTTTTTTTAATACCTTTATTTTATTTTTATGATCGAACACAGGGCCTCCTGCATGTGAGGCGAGCACTGTACTACTGAGCTACAACCCCAGCCCAGGGAAATCTTAATCTGTAAAAATATTTCCTAACTCTTTAGTTCTGATAGCAAAAACTTTGAGAAAATCTCCATGTCCAGTAATAAGAGGATTACTTTTGGTAATCCTTTGATAAAAAATTTTATACCCTTTATTATTTGTAGAGATTATCTAATATGAAAAAACATATGAGAATATTACTAGAATGAAGCAGGATACAAAGTTTATGTGGAGTATAATTCCAACCTTTAAAAAAGCAAAACCCTTGACCCTAAAAGGTATGTCAAGTTCCCTTTTTAATTTTGTCAAGTGCCACTCTAATCAATTCTCTAATTATTAGACTTTCCATATATTAATCTGCCTGTGCTGTCAATTGCTTATGTAAAGATAATCCCATTCCTCTTCAGCTAGTTCTGTGCTGTGCCATTGGCATCCATGAGGTAACGGGTATATTGAGGTCATCTGGCTGAGGATGCAAGCTTTCTCTGAGCTGTCACATGTTATGGAACAAGGTGTTGATTGCAATTCATTGTTTTCTCTAGAGGTTTCCTTCACCTACAGATCAGAGACAGGGAAAGGGCCTGGGAGCCCTTAATTAGGTATACTGCTTCATTTTCTGTAGATTGTGTTTTAGTCCATTTTTAGTTACTAGTAATGCAATACTACAGGCTGTGTAAGTTTTAAAGAGGAGAGGTCTAGTTAGCTCACATTTATAAAGGTTTAGGGGCCAGTATCTGGTGAGGCCTTCTTGCTGGTAGAGTCCCAAGGTGGCACAGGGCATCATGTGGCAAGAGATGGAGAACATGCGTGTGTGTGTGTGTGTGTGTGTGTGTGTGTGTGTGTGTGTGTGTGTGTGTGTGATCTCTCTCTTCCCTCACCAGCATTCAGTCATGGGGCTTCACCTTAATGACTCTAGTCCAGATCACTTTCCAGGGCCTCACCTCACCTTTAAGCAGTATACTTGCATTAAGTTTCTACCCTCTTAAAACCTCACAGTGGGGACTTAAAAATTAAGTCATGAAGGCTTGGTGGACACACTGAATCCTATCTAAATCATAGCAGCCTTCTGGGAAGCCAACAACTGCTACCGAAGTGACATTGCACTGAATTCAATTTTGGACTGCAATTGATTTTTCTCCCCAGGCCATTTATGCCAGTGTTCTTCCTGGAGAGTTGATGAGGGGGTACATGACCCAGTTTCCCACCTTTCCGAGCTGGCTGGGCAAGCACTCATCTACTGGCAAACATGATCGTATTGTTCAGGAACTAGCATTGCATATGAGTCTCAGGTAAGCAGAATTACTCCATTTCTGACATTTTATGGTGAGGGTATTAGCCTTTATCCAGTAAGATAGCATGAGTGTAAAGATTTGAGCTTTAGTTTTGATTTTATTACTAACATTTAAAATGATCATGGTTAAGTTCTTTATATTTTGTGGGCCCATACAAGATTTGCTTTACCACTTAGGAGGACACTTTGGACAATAAAGTCAGATGGTAGACGTGTCATAACTTCAAAATACATTTTGAAAACTGTATACATCTGAGGTGGTATTGCTGATATTGTGACTATGCCTGTTACTAGTAGGAATAGTGTCTCAGCTTCAGAATAATTAATTGGAAAAAATTGAACTATTCAGAGAAATGAACTAGTTTTTGCCTATTTTAGTAGTGAACGGACCTCATTTGAGATAGAAAACACAGTTTAGCATGTAACAGAAGGAGGCCACTCAGAATCTAAAAAAATGTGCATATACCAGATGTTAAGCAGACTTCAGGATTTATTTATCACCAGGGTTTCAAGGTCCTGCATCACTCTGCCCTAGGGATGTCCCTCCTTGAGGCTCCTGCCCTACTCCATGTGGATTTAGAGCCCTTGACCTCCATGTTGCTTTGTGGCTGTTCCTTTCTCCACTCAGATGAACATTTGTCAGGGTAGGAATGAGCTTACTCATCCAGCACATAAGTGTTTCCTAGTGAATCACACATGGGACACTATCATCAAGGACATTTATGGTTAGGTTAAGACCTTCCCACTTAACCTTTTAATCCTGATCAAATCACTGAACCCTTAGAGGCCTCAGTTTCTCTCCATCTTTTCAAAATGGAAGTGTGATTTTTTTTTTTTAATTCTTAACCTTTTTGGGGGTCCTAAGTGCCTTCGACAATCTGAAAGCTTTGACCTTTATTCCCCCTACCCTCTCCCCAGAAAAATGTACAGATGCTCAAATAATACAATCATAGGGGAAGTACAGATTCCTGAAGTTAAGAATCTCTGATTTTAGGTACATAGATGTCATCTCTATACTTTTCTGGATTTAACATTCTCTGATTCTGGTTATACAAAATTACATATAAGAGGAAAGGAGGGGTAAAACAAGATAATACAAGTGGAAGAAATGATTTACAGTAGAGGGGGTAGAGAGAGAAAAGGGGAGGGGAGGGGAGGGGGGATAGTAGGGAATAGGATAGACAGCAGAATACATCAGTCACTAGAACGGCAATATGTAAATCAATGGAAGGGTAACTGATGTGATACAGCAATCTGTATACGGGGTAAAATTGGGAGTTCATAACCCACTTGAATCAAACTGTGAAATATGATATATTAAGAACTATGTAATGTTTTGAACGACCAACAATTAAAAAAAAAAACATTCTCTGATTCTACTAGAAGATGCCAATTCAACAGCTCAGAAGAGTTATTTTGAAAATGTTTCATGGTCTTGGGTTTTGTGGCTTAGGGACTCACTGTGCTTCTCTTCAGGCACTAGTGTCCTTAATTATAAAAGACTAAATCTACAGGAAATGGGTGAAATTGAAATTTGCCTGAGCAATAAGACAGTCACAAGGGCAAGTTTCTAGGTTTCTGACTGAGGAAGACCTCTATGACCTCTTGGGGCTCAGATATTAGTTATGTGAAGGCAGGAATAGGACCCTAATTTTTAAACAGTCATTTCTAATTCTATTTTGTGCTAGTCAGCTCTTTCATCACTGTAACAAATACTTGAGAAAATCAACTTAAGATTTTCAAAGATTTCAGTACATGGTTGGCTGGCTCCAGGGCAGAAGCTGTTCACCTCATGGCTGTCGGGAAAGAGAGAGCATGTGAGAGAGAGACCAGGGAGATAAAACATTCCTCTCAACTGCTTGCCCCCAGTGACCTACTTCCTCCAGCTGGGCCCCATCTAGTAACATGTGGGTTCTGATACCAATGGTGTTAGAGGGCTTTTGCATACAGAGGCATCCAAGTTGAAAAGATTTAAGATGGTGACATTTGAAATGCTGTTTTGTTCATGTATTTTCTGTTTTAAAGTAATGACAGCAGGTCTGGGGTTGTAGCTCAGTCATAGAGCGCTTGCCTCACACGTGTGAGGCACTGGGTTTGAACCTCAGCACCACATAAAAATAAATAAAGTTATTAATAGTGTGTCCATCTACAACTGGAAAAAAAAAGTGACAGCATTTGAGAGAAAAAGTCATTTCCTGATGATATTCCAGTTCTCAGCAAATCAGAATTGATTCCTTATCTTTCACTGGCGGGTGTGGATAACTTTTGGATTCTGCAGGACATTCTCTTTAGTTTTCTGAGGTTTGGAGAAAATCTCAGAAATACTGCTGTAGAACTGAAGATTTCAGAGTGTGTAAGGGAGGCATTCATGTATCATTTCAAATGTAATAATCAGAACAGAAGGTGTTAGGCACCCTCATGTGGAAAGTGGCTCTGAGGAAGTCTCGCCACCTTTTTTTTTTTTCGGTTCTTTTTAGATACATATAACAGTAAAATGTATTTGATATATACATACATGGAGTATATATGTTCACATACGAACATAGGAAAGTTATTTATGATTCACCCTATTGTCTTTCCTATTCTCATCTCCTCTCCCTTCCTCTCATTCCCCTTTGTCTAATCCACTAAACTTCTGTTCTTCCTCCCCCTTCTTATTGTAAGTTAGCACATGCATATCAGAGAACATTTTGCCTTTGTTTTTTATTTTATTTTATTTTAATTTTTATTTTATTAGTAGTGATGGACCTTTATTTATTTATGTCTGGTGCTGAGGTCAAACTCAGTGCCTCACACGTGCTAGGCAAGCGCTCTACCACTGAGCCACAACCCCAACTTGCTCTGCCTTTGTTTTTTTTTTTTTTTAAATTAGAAGTTTTTTTTTTTTTTAAAGAGAGAGAGAGGGAATTTTAATATTTATTTTTCAGTTATTGGCAGACACAACATCTTTGTTTGTATGTGGTGCTGAGGATCGAACCCCGGCCGCACGCATGCCAGGCGAGCACGCTACCGCTTGAGCCATATCCCCAGCCCCTCTGCCTTTGTTTTTTGGGATTGGCTTGTTTCACTTAGCATGATAATCTCCAGATCATCCATTTACTTGCAAAAGTCATAATAATGTCATTCTTTTTTTTTATGGCTGAGTAATATTTCACCGTGTATATATACCACATTTTCTTTATCCATTCATCTGTTGAAGGACATCTGGGTTAGTTCCATAGCTTAGCTATTATGAATTGAGCTGCTATAAACATTGATGTGGCAATGCCACTGTAGTATGCTAATTTTGTCCTTTGTGTAATAGATTTTGTCCTTTGGTTATATACTGAGGAATGGGATAACTGGGTCAAATGGTGGTTCCATTCCAAGTTTCTGAGGAATCTCCAGACTGCTTTCCAAAGTGGTTGACCAATTTGCAGTCCCACCAGCAATGTATGAGTGTACCTTTTTTTCCTACATTCTTGCCAACATTTATTTTTAGTTGTATTCTTAATAGTTGTCATTCTGACTAGAGTGATATAGAATCTCAGGTCTCACCACCTTTTACTGATACTTTTAGTATTTTGGAAGTTGAATGAGTAATCTCTATGGCTATAATAAATATGTGCACAGAAAAACAGTGTTGTTGCCTGGATCTTAAGAGTAGGATAGAAATAGAACCTATGTTTGGTTTGTAGTCACTGCTCCAAGGGAGGAGAAACTGCCTTTGAGCACAGTGATGTATGTCCATTTCCCTAGTGTGGAGCCCTGGGCCTTTCCTGCCAGCTGTTAAATAAATAGTAGGCATTCCCCCAGACATTAGTAAACTTGGATGAAGCTCCACCTGATTGCCTCTTTTGATATGTACAATATGACTTGAATTGGTGATAGTTTGCCATCAACACAATTGTGTCTTTTGTTTGGTTTTAGAACTTACTCTAGCAAAAGGACTGTGAACATGGATTATCTGTCACATATAAGGGATGCACTTGTACAACCCTTGACTTCACAAGGGGTGGAAGGAATACAGGATGTTGTTGCACTTATGGACACATATTATCTGATGAAAGAAGACTTTGAGAATATCATGGAAATTAGCAGCTGGGGTGGCAAACCTAGTCCCTTTTCCAAGCTGGACCCCAAGGTAAATCGTACAACCTCCGGGTTCTTCATCACTTTATGATGACCAGGTTTGTCCTAGAAGTACTTCAGTGGTGTTTTTAGTGCTTTTAAAAAGACTTACTGTATATTCTCTTAAAATTTATTCTCTTTTATGGCCTATGCTTTCTAAAGATAGCATTTGTTTACCATTTGTTAGAAAAAAACTTTTGGATTTAACTTTGCAATTTGTATTTTTATCTTAGCTTCATGCTGAACAGAAAAAAAGTCAAATCTGAGGAGCAAACATGAACTCCTAATAAGAGTGGAGGGAAGAAGTAAAAGTGAGGTGGTAGTAACGGGTCATAAAAAGAAGAGTGGTCAGGTGCAGTGGTGCACACCAGTAATCCCAGAGACTCAGGAGGCTGGAGGCAGAGGCAGAAGCAAGTTCAAAGCCAGGCTCAGCAACTTAGCAAGGCCCTATGCAATTTATCAGTATCCTGTCTCAAAAAGGACCGGGGATGTGGCTCAGTAGTAGAGTATCCCTGGGTTCAGTCCCTAGTACCCCAAAATAAAAAGAAGGTGGGTTTCCTGGTTGAGGATTGAATAATTTTTCCTTTTTCTTAGTCTCCCTAATTTGTGGATTCTGTATTTATTCTGGTTGGATAGTCTGCTATGTATAAACATAGCCCCTTCTTTTCTTTTTTTTTTTGGTACTGGGGAGTGAACACAGGGGCACTTTAACTACTGAACCATATCCCTAGCTCTTTTTTTTTTGTATCAGGAGGATGAAAAAGCTCAAGTGATATAACATGAATATGTAATATCTAGTTCTCTCTTTTGTTTATTTGATGCTGTTTTAGAAAACACACACTCTGTGGTTTGTTTTCTCTAGAATTTTGATCTAATTATTACTAAATTCATGGATTTATTCTGGAATTGTTTAGAAGCTTGAAGTTAAGGCTTTTTAAGTTATCAGTATTTGTAGTATTCTGCTAAAGGAATCTTCAGTGTTTTGTAGTAAAGGCCAACTTGAACCTTACAATGAGACTTTTTTGATTTACTGATTCATAGACTAACTTTGCTTGATACTTAGTAGAAATGTGGAGAGTGTTCAATATTCAAATATGACTTAAAGTCATTTTTTTAAAAAAGTGCCTAAAGTTCCTGATACTGATTAGGGCTCTATTAAGAATGTCATGAAAAATGTGGACCGTCTTCATGGAAAAATACATATATTTCCATCTACACACGCATGCATGAATATTTTGCCGATAATTTCAAGGGGCTTCCAATACCTCTGCAAGTATTTAGGTTTATGGAATTTAAGGAATTGTTTGGCAATTAGATTTTTAATAGTCTCCCTCTGCTCCTTTTATGCAGGTGAAAGCAGCTTTCACAAGAGCTTACAATAAGGAAGCCCACCTCACCCCATATTCACTTCAGGTAATAAAGACATCTAGACCCAGCACGAGCTCAGCACTAGATTCTGAATACAATGAAGAATTACATGAAGATGACTCTCAGTCTGAGGAGAAAGACCAAGATGCTATAGAGACTGACGCTATGATCAAGGTAGTATTTAAGTAATAGATGGGAGAACTTCAAAAAAGATGTTCTTTTCTTTGTGTCATTTGCCTTGTAAATAATAGAGCCTATAGCAAGTGGCAGAGAAAGCTGAAAATGCTTCCAATGTTTTGTTTGGTGTGGCTTAGGGTGGTGAAGGGATAGATTTTATTTTTATAAATAGCTCCTTGTCATAGTGGAAGAGCCACATGCTAAGAAAACAGGCCATTTATATGGATGGTCATATATTTTTTAAAGAAAAGTTGGATTTTTATGTATTTGGCCATTGGTATATGCTTTCTTATCTGCACACACACATTTTTGCTGCAGATGGAAATACATTTTTAACAAACGCATTTTGCCTTTCTGTTATATGTGTTTTGCTGTAGTCATTGAATTGCCTGTAGAACTTTCTCAGAGCTCATTTGATATTTCCTTGTCATTGGCTAGGAAAGAGTACAATTAGTCATGGTATCAGCTCAGTATTGACAGCTGACCAAGGCAAAGGAATCTAGTCTGTGTCCTCCTCTGTCCTTTGGTGTGTGTATGCTCCTTGCCTCTTATTTTTGTGTTGTATATGCAAAGTAGGAATAGTGATCTTTTCCATGGATCTTGTTCTGCCTTATTTAGACATAAGATGTAGTCTTCCTTTCTCCTCTTCCGCCTTTACAAAATGAGTGTGTTTAGATCTCCAGTCTGAAACTAAAAAGGAAATTCTTCATGTAAGCGTTACCATATTTGGCTGGTATGGTGGTGCATGCCTGTAATTCCAGTGACCTGGGAGGCTGAGGCAGGAGGTTTATAAGTTCAAAGCCAGCCTCAGCAACTTGGTGAGCTGCTTTCACAAGGAAAAAAAAGGTGGGGGATGTGGCTCAGTGGTTAAGTGCCTCTGGGTTCAAATCTCTGGTACCAAAACAAAAAACTAACAAAAAAACTTATCTGTAAATTAACTTTTGCTTATTTTGCCTTCCATGGGGAATGTATCTTAGTTTTAGATGGATAGCTTCAGTTTTTACTGCTGTCTTTGAAAAGTTTAACTAGCCTAGTTGTTGTTTAGAGGCAAGCTCATCAGAGGCAGCAGTAGTTCAAGATCTAGATGTTTGCAGCCTCTCTTCTTTTTAAATTCAGCGGCAGATAAAGATGAGATTTATTATAAAGAAGCTTGTTTCATTTACTCATGAACACAGCTACTAACTACTTTGTGCATCTTTTTCCTCCAACAGAAAAAGACAAAATCTCCAAAGCCTTCAAAACCAGAAAAAGATAAGGAGTCCAAAAAAGGAAAAGGAAAAAGTTTGAAGAAATGAAACCATTTTTTCACCAACAGCCACTTTTTATCTACCCTCCTGACTAGTCCAGCTGGTCTAGAGCAAGCCTCGTTTTTTCCAGGGGAGCCATGTTTAGCATAATGGGATGACATGGTGGTCCCATTCCAAAGGCAGCACAGCTGGGATGTAACCGGTATGCTCGTGCACACCTCTCATAGAGGTCTGTAGGACTATGTGGGTGCTCCACTGTCTCCTGCCAATCTAATTAGATTGTTGTACTTCAGATGACTGTGTATATAATTAGAACCAGAAACTGCATGTGGGCTTTCGTGCCAGATTTTCATTAACAATGATAAACCTGGGAGCAGTGGTACGAAGGTATCTTTTGTAGGTTTAAAAATTTATCCTAATGGCCTTTATAGGACCAATGCTGATTTTTTTTTTTTAAAGGTAATTCTTATTATGTGGTGAAATTTTGTAAATAAATCAATACAAAACATTCACCACCTAGAACTGGGTATTCTTTGTACATTGTCAAGCATCTTACAAAGTATAAATTAGGAATAAAAATGTTCCACATGATACATGTATAAATTTTTCTCAAGATTGTCATCTTGTACAGCAAAATAGTAAGTATGTTGGTATATTACTTTCCTTATTAGTTTGCAAATGAGTGGATTAAAAGCTCATTATATGCTGTACTAACCAGTTGTGTGAAACATGACTGGTAGTTGAAGAGCCAGAGCTGGAATTTCCAGCTTCCCTCCCTCTAGTGCTGACCACAGTCATGCACCTTTCTCATGGAGAGGCCCTCTTTGTAGAGGGTGGGGCCATAGGATTGCCAGGCGTGCCCGCCTTTGTGCATCTCATTAGGTTCAAACCAGTAGGGCTCAGGCAGGGTTTCTTAGGCTTACTTTGGCTGTAGATGGGGTTCTTCCTGTGATGGATCTGTTGGAACTTCAGGCTGTACCTAGAGATATGCTTGCCAGTGGCTCTGAAGGTTATGGATCTAACCTGGAATTTAGTTTTGTAGCTATTTTTTTGATCTTGTCAGAAATGCTCAGAGGTGTGCGCTGCCTCTGTGAGGTATATGCTAAAAGGAATATAAAATAAGGATAGTGTTAACCTGCCTTCAAGGATTGATAATCTTGTTTGGGAGATTGGACAAAGTTCTGGAGACTTTTTAAGTATCTTTAATGGAGATTAATTCATTATGAAAATAAAATTTGCCTTAAGCCTTTACCCACTGAGCCATGCTCTTCTTTGTTAAAGCCAGGCTTGGAACTTTTCAGTTTCAGTGAAAGTTATTTCACTAGTAGGGTGAAGATGGTCTTCTCATGCATATTCTTCTTGCATTTCTATTCTTTTTGAATAGCAAGTCATGTCTGCCCAGTTATTTTGTACACTCTGGAAAGGGCCTCTTTGGAGCCAGAACAAATAGTGTCCTTTACTGTTCATTATGAAGTTCTGAACATGTGTACAAGAACATCTATTTTAGAAATTATCAATGTGCTATTTAATATATGAGGATGACAGTGTAGATCTAATTCTTCTTTGCTGTCCTCATAAGTGGGGGATTATGTGTGGGTTTTATGTCAGTAAATTGTATTGAATCACTTTGGCCAAAGGCCTCTGGCTTGTCCTGCTGGCCATTAGGAGGGAAGGACAGGTCATAAAGCTGGAAGCATCATACAGGCAGGCTGCTTAGATGCTATAAAACATTATTGGCCCTGCGGGCCCTCGCCTCAGCTTAGGAGGGCCATAAATGTAAAACTGTGTGATTTATTCAGAGGTGACTCATTTCTGTTAGCTGTTTAGACTTTGATGACATTGGCTAAGATGGCAAGGAAGCATATACTGAAGTTGCAGGAAAAGTATGGTCCCTTGCAGCCTGTTTGTGTGGTGTACATGATACGAGGAAGGAACTGTCACACCTCCTTGGGAAAGATTCCAAGTTATGGGTGTTTTTAGGAGAAGTCAAACAATTTGTGACAAATTCCGTAGTGTGCAGTAGAATGACAAAAATTTTACTGTGTTTTGATTCTGGGACTGATTCTGCTAAAAGCCTTGATTTGTATGAACATATTTCATGATTTTTTATACTTAATATATATATGTACTATCGAAACTTCACAATGTGCTTGAAAGCTACCTTCATCATCTCTTTTTCTGTCTTTAACTCCAAGAAAACAGTACAAATATCTAGTCAATAATTTTATTTTAAAGGAGATATTCAAAATATAAAAGTAATCAAAAACTAAGTATTTACAATTACGTTATAGGTTATTATTAAAATGTAAAACTTTGAAGAGGAAATATACAAAGTATAATAAACAACACTATTATATGTCACTTTTGCCAAGTGCTGACTTGGAGAGGTCACCTCTGTTTCTTTTTTGTGTATCTATGAAGAATCATCTCTTAAGTCCATTGGGGTGGAAACAGTCTCCTGTGGAAAAATTACTATCTTCTCAGGAACACTGTATCTAGAAAAGACAAACACATGCCTTCAGAAGGGTTTCAGGTAATTACTAGCATTTAATAATCAAGCCACATTCTCTGCTTATTTCTGAACTATGGAACAAGAACCCTACATTCAAGCTTGAAATTTCCAATCTATAATCAGTATTGAGTTTCAGTATTGGCCTTGTAACTGACTAATGTGTGGCAAGCTTCTAAGCCTTTATTGTAAATTGAGAATGATGCTGATGCTGATGATGGCCATACTGGGAAGAATGAGAAAATGCAGAATGAATCCTCAGCAAACTACAGAGAACATAAATAGTTAAAGATTGCTTATCTAAAGGAACCAGTGAACAATGGCTTCAACCAATATTCATTGTTTAAAAGACACAGTGACTTTTTAAAAAGAGAGTGCATAATCATAATTCACTGAAGACATTCACTAAAAGAAATTAAAAAAAAAAACACACCTAGTCAAATAGTCAAATTCTAAAAACAGAGAATATATTGAATGCAGCCACAGAGAAAATGGTATACACAGGGAACAACGATGGTTGACATTGGACAAGTATCTTTTAAGTACTGTAAGAAATAAACAACAACAAAACCCCCAAACCAGAATTCCTTATCAAGTGAAAATATCCTTCAAAATTGAAGGAAAGTAAAGACAGAGAAATAGTCACTAACAAACCTGAACTTGAAAGAAGTGCTATAGGAAATTCTTTAGGCTGAAAGCAAATAATACCATGTGGAAATCTGGATTCAGGAATGCAAGAATATCATGGAAATGGCAAATAGGTTGGCAAGTATAAGGCTATATCCATATTTTTTCCTGTAATTTCTAAGACATGATAAAGGAAAATAATAATATAAGGTTTATAAGTGTGTATGTATATTTGTGACATAGGCTACTGACCAAGTAAAAAGTTTTGCAAAGGTATATAGATAAAAGGTCAACAGAGGAATCAAGTGAAATACTTAAAAAAAAAAAAAAAAGAATTGGATTATGAATAGAAGGCAAGACAAAAGTAATGAAACAGTATACCTAAATTCAACATGATAACACTTGAAAAAGAAATTAGAACAACAACAAAAAATTACAGACCAGTATTCTCAGTATAAGCAAAATAATCCAGAAGTACATAAAAAGGGAAATTATCATGATCAAGTGAATATATCTCCTAAATAAAAGTTGATTTTAACACTCAAAAATAAGTATAATTTATATTAATGGGATAAAGGGGGATAAATTTATCATCTTAATTAATACAGAAAATTCATTTGAGAAAATTCAAAACTCAGCCAACTAGGAATAAAAGGAAACTTTTGTAATTAAGATAGAAGACCTCTCATTAAATTTTTTTTTTAGTTGTCAATGGACCTTTATTTTTCATTTATATGTAGTGCTGAGAATTGAACCCAGTGCCTCACATAAGCTAGGCAAATGCTTTAGCACTGAGCTACAACCCCAGCCCCATAGAAGGCCTCTCTTAAAAACCTTACAACTAATCACAATGGTCGAATACTGAATGCTTTCTCCCAATACCCGAAATAAGACAAAGATGTTGCATTGTACTAGAGATCCTAGCTAATGCAATATGGGAAGAGAGAGAAATAAAAGTCATAAATATTAGAAAGGAAGAAAAATTTTTTTGTCTGTTGACATGCTTATTTACATAGACAGTCTGAAAGACTATACACTATGATATAAAACATAAATTTATTTATGGTGGCACATGTCTGTAATCACACTATTTGGGAGGCTAATGCAGGGATATTGCTAAATCAAGGCCAGCCTGGCCAATTTAGACCTTGTTTCCAAATAAAAGGGCTGGTGGTACAGTGGTAGAGGGCCCCAGGTTCAACCCCTAGTACTAGGGTAGGAAGCAGGCTGCAAGATGCAAGGTCAGGATACGAAAATCCACTGCATCTTTCCATATCAATGGAAAATAAAAAATTCCATATCAAAGTCTCAAATTCCTTGGGAATAAATTTAACGAAAGACTCCTGTACTGAAAGTTACATTGTCAAAAGGAATTTCAAGATTTTGAAATAAATGTAGGGCTATATTGGTAGATTGGTATATATTAAAGATGTCAGTTCTCAAAATGGTCTTCAGAATCAATGTAGTTTTGGCAGGCAGAATTCTAGAGTGACCCCCAAGATTCCCATCCTCAGTGTACACATCCTGTCTATATGGTACTTGGCTCTTAAGTGCGGGGAAGGGCCTGTGATTGTGGAAATAACCATGTTTGTCTATATTACATAAGGGATTCTGTAGGTGCAGTTAAGGTCCCCAGTCAGCTGACTGAATTAATCAATAGGACTTTAACCTAGGTGGCCTGACCTAATTAGGTAAGCCCTTTTAAGAGGGTTTAGACTTTCCCTGAAGGGAAGTTGTACATTGGAGAGATGCTCCTTTGCTGGGCTTTGAAGCATAATTTCATGTGTTAGGAAACTACCTCTAAGTGCTTAGGGCTTCAGTTCTCCAATCATGAACAACAGAATTCTGCTAGTGGTGAACCTGGAAGAGGACTTGAAGCCCATGAGTTCCAGCCAACATCATGACTATAGTCTTGTGAGACCCTGAGCAGAAGGCCCAGCTAAAAAGCTATGCTTAGACACTGACTCACTGATAATAAGTGTATGTTGTTTTAGGATGCTGTACAGCAGCAGCAACTAAAGGAAATCCCAATCTTAATTTGACAAGCTGATTAAGACATTATAAAGATAAAAAGACCAAGAGTGGACAAAATAATCTTGGGAAAAAACAATAAAAGTTGGAGCATCCACAGTACTTCAAGACTTTAATATACCAACTATAAACCTAAAATAATTGAAACAATGTAGTGTTAAAATAATGAACAAATCCATCAGTCTAAAAATAGCCACAATTAAAACCTAACTGATTTTTCAGTAAAAGCATCCAAGTAGTTCAACGAGGAAAGGAAAGACCTGCTAACAGATGGTACTAGAAGACTGAATCTATCTACTTGGTATTTGTGTGGGGGGATGGATGAGACAGCCTCTCCTCATTATAGACAAACATCCTCTCAAGATGAGTCACAGATCTAGAGTTGCTAGAAGAAAACAGGAAAATGTGATCCTAACTTCAATGAGCAATTAAAAATAAGGGTAGGACACAGAATAACTATGAAATTAAAGAACTGATAAACAAATTCATTAATATCTGCTATCCAAATGCCCATTCAGAAGCAGAAAGCCAGAGTGGGAGGAAATATTTTCAAACATGTTTGATGAACAATTTGTGACTAGAATAAATAATTTTGACAGTTCAAAAAGATAACAACCCCTATGATTATAGATATCAATTTGTTTCACTATAGTTAAAAGTTAAAAGACAGATAACCTAGTGAAGATAGAAGAGTCTTCTCAATGAATATCTGGGACAACTGGATTATCTACACAGAAAAGGAGGAGGATCCATACCACTTAATGGATCAAAGACGACCTCAATGTAAGAGTAATGATTATGAGTTCCTAAAAGGAAACGTAAGTGTAAATTTCATGACCTTGGATTAAGGAATAGTTTTTTAGATATGAGAGCAGTCAAAGAAAGAAATTGGAATTCACAAAGTAAACTTGTGACTCAGATATTAAAGAAGTGAAAACAAACCAATCCCAGGAGGAAAGTATTTGCAAATCATATCTGATAAAATGTATTTAGAACATATTCTAAAAGAACTCATAACTCAACAACAAAATAAATGGGCGAAGGACTTGTAGATCTTCAAAGAAATAAACAGGAAAAGAGATTCCACATCACTTGCCACTAAGGAAATGTAAATCAAGATCTAATGAAATATTACTTTACACCCAGCAGGATGATTGCAATCAAAGAGCAGATGGTAACAGGTATGAGTGAGCATGTGGAGAAACTACAGCCTCGTACATTGCTGATGGGAATGGAAGATGGTGCATCCCCTGTGAAGAGTCTGGAGTATTGGAGAACAGCAGAAAGGTCAATGGGCTGCAGCATAGTGAGCAAGAGGAATAATCTGAGATGAGACAGGAGGAGGAGGCTGGGGCCAGCTCACCACCTGTAGGCTCTTCTAAAGCCACTGATGGGTTCAGGAAGGGAACTAGATGCTGGAGGTGGACTGATGGGGGTGGGGGTAAGGGTGAGATGAATCAAGGTCACCTCTCCAGTTCACATCCTGACCAGCTGAGTGGAGGGAGCTGCCCCTAGCAGAGATAGAGAAAGGTAGGGAAGACCTGGAGAGAACAGGTTGTGGTCAGAGACCTGGAGTTTCCTCCTAAGGTTAAGTTTGAGATTCTGTGTCAATTATAATAAAAGAATATTTTCTTTTACTAAAAGAATCTCATGATTTTTAGTAGGGCTTTTGGCTTCCAAGCTAGAGACTACATTTTCTCCTTCTGCACTATGTAGCCATGTGAGTAAATCCTTGTCAATGGAGAACAGCACAAGTATGTGTAGCTTCCACTTGACAAAACTGAGACTTCGAAAGAAAAACAAATGGGAATTTTTCAAATCTCTGGAAGCCAAAACTTTTTAGAGCATATTCTCCTGAATTATATCAGTAATATCCACTTTCATTAGGAGGCTCTAGTTTTAATGAATTGATTAGAAAGAATTCTATGTGACTTGATACAGCGAGTTCTAGTTGCTTTCCGTGATTCTCCTTGGCCAAATAACTTTTGTCACTGGCAACTATATTGCCTGCATTTTAGCATTAAAAAAAATTCATCAAAGGTTTCTTGTCCAATTATTCAGATCTAAAAATACATGATACACAAAAAGAAGTGAACGCCATTACCAAGTACCAGCTGTGTGTGCTCTGGAACATGAGAGAATGGTGCCCTTACCTGCACGTGCTGCCCACTATTCCATCTCTGTTCGAAGGTACTTGGTACAGTCTGAAATGTTCTTCAGCTGAGCAGAATCTAATCTTTCTGAACACATAGGACATGTGCTTTCATGGTTTAACATGCTGTTTTGGGGAGGGAAATTCAGAGTAAGGTAGTTGTACAATATTCCTTTACCTTTGGGTAATTCTAGTGTAAAAAGCAGCTATTTTCTATCTTTACCTCATAACTCATGGAATTTAAGAATTAGAAATATTTATCAGGTGTGGTGGTGCACACCTGTAATCCCAGTGGCTTGGGAGGCTGAGGCAGGAGGATCATGAGTTCAAAGCCAGTCTCAGCAAAAGCAAGGTGCTAAGCAACTCAGTAGGTGAAGTTTGAGATACTGTGTCAATCAATAATAATAAAAGATTATTCTTTTTTCCTGAGCCACATCCCATCCCTAGTCCTTTTTATTTTTTATTTTGGAACAGGTTCTCAATAAGGTGCTGAGGCTGGCTTTCAACTTGCAATCCTCCTGCCTCGGCCTCTACCTCAGCTTTCTGAGTCACTGAGATTACAGGTGGGCACCACCATACCTATTGAAAGATCCTCTTAAAGATAATGGTCCATAGGTCATAGAAGTTTCTTTCAGGAAGACAATTTGGGTCTTTAGGGGTATTTAGGAACATGAAACATAAGGAGACTTCAGAATAAAGAAGTGGAAAAAAAAGGCCTGTTTTTGTATAAAATTGTGACTGTGAAAGGATGCACACTTACGTCTTAAATTCTGAATATAGTGCAGGAAAGTCACAATGTGGACACACTGTCCAGTCATTTTTCAACATGTGCCGGCCCTGGAAACAGTACATTTAAGAGTAAAATTCATCTTTGTATTATAACAATTACAATTAAAGCCAGGCCTCTAAATTATGAAATTATTGCTATTTCCTATAGGTGTGTAATTGCCTAGAAAGAGATGGTATCAGAAGTACCAGATTCATGTTTAAAGACAGAATAATCTTCAGTTTTTTTTACATCATTACCTGAATTTATTTTCCTTTATAACAGAGTTTACAGTGATGAACAAATAATTTTTTGACAGTTGGTTTTAATAAAAACTACCAGTGGGCTGGGGCTGGGGCTCAGTGGTTGAGCACTTGCCTAGTACGTGTGAAGCAATGGG